GGAACTATGGAAGCAAAGATCCTCCTTTTTTTTTTTCCTGCCACACTATGTGACTTGTGGGGGAATGGCTTGTGGGATCTTAGTTCCCTGACCAGAGATCAAACCTGGGCCCTTGGCAATGAGAAGATCAGGGAATTCCCCTAAAGATTCTTTTATTGAGGTTGCTAGGTTTGAAGAATGTATGCCTTTTGCTACTAACAGCCCATTCAGAGAAAAGTGGAAATGAGAGACAGTTAAGATGGAGTGAGAAAGAAAGTTAAGATGACATCATTGAGCTCCTAGGTCAAGCCATACCTGATGGTAATAATTTCCTTGGACTTCACATTTACATGAAATAATGACCAATCTCCTTATTTTTAATTTAATATTAAACTCTGTCTTGAAAAGGCACTTGACTAGGAGCAATTTTTCCCCTCTGAATAACCAGAGCAGAGGTGCACAACTGTTGATGGTCCTTGTAGTATCTACAAGGTTAAATAAGGGAGCTAGAAGGGGCAGCTTCCAGTTTCTCTCTCATCTCCTCCACACTTCTTCCCACCTTCTCCTCCACTGGAGGCTAGTGATAATACCAAATAATAGCATTTTCTTATCAGAGGACTTTGAGAAGCAGATTGGGAACTTTAGTGCTTTGATAGCAAGGGAAGAGTAGGTTTCAACAACAGTCTGTTTTACAACCAAAAACTCTAAAGAATCTACATCTTGGGTCCTATAGTCTGCAACCACGAGTAACCAAGAGGCCAAAATTAACAATAATTGAAAGGAAAAGACATATCCAAGAAAGGCCACCCCTCCATTAACCCATGTCCCTGATGTGCATACCCTGCTTACGTGATTTAGCCAATGGAAGTGCTTTATCCCTGAGAGTGGAGGTACGTACATTCATGTTCATAGCAACACTGTTTATTGTAGCCAAAAAGTGGAAACAATCCAAATGTCTATTAACAGATAAACAGATGAACAAAAATCCATACCATGAAATGTTATTCTGCCATAGAATGGAAGTACTGATATATGCTGCAATATGGATGAACCTTGAAAATATTGCAACTAAGTGAAAGAAACCAGACACAAAGAACCACATACTTTATGGTTCCATTTATATGAAATGTCCAGAAAAGACAAATCCATAGAGAAGGAAAGCAGATTAACGGTTTCCAGGGGCTGAGAAGTGGTGGATTTTTTTAAAATTACACACTGGGAGATGATGGCTAAAGAGAATGGCGTTTCTTTCAGGGGTAGTGAAAATGTTCTGGGGTTGGATAGTGGTAATGGTTGCACAACTTTGCATGTATGGTAAAAGCAATGGAATCATATACTTAAATGAGTAGATTGTATGTATGTGAATTTTATCTTAATAAGCCATTAAAAAGAGAGAGAGAGGGTCAGGGTAGGAGCAGGAATCTTTCAGAGAGGCTGTCTCATGTGACTGAGACACCCTTTCACCCATTAAAAATGTCAACTATAGTTCAGCCAAATGGCATCTTCTTTTACAAGAAGACTCAATATAGAACCTAAGAGGAAAAAAAAAGAATACATGTGGGTGGCTTAACTTGGGATATAATCAGCAATGCCTTCACAGTTGTGAAATTATTGCTGATAGGTTCTTCTTGGATCCCTCAATGAATCTTTTTATCTTAAATGAATCAAGGGATGGTTGCAAATCTTCCTTTGTCTTATGTGTGGGCCTGATAGATAGGCAGGGACCCAACCTGTGCAAGGCCACTGTCTGCCTGTCTTCTTTGCTTCTAGTTGGAATGTAAACTTCTCAGTATATGGATCCCAGGCAGCATGCAGACTGGCTTCAAATTCTTTCCTGTGTTTCAAAGCAATCACATTAAGTATAAAATCAATTCAAGTTTGAGTACAAAGAGTAGATTCCATTGCTCACTTGAATTTACACAGGATTGCATTCTTTTTAAAGATCATTTTATTTGTTTATTTTTATTTACTGGCTGGGCTGGGTTTTTGTTGCATGTGGGCTTGTCTCGAGTTGTGGCAAGCCTGGTATGAGGGCTTCTCATGGGGGTGGCTTCTCCTGTTGTGAAGCACGGGCTCTAGGACCTGTTGGCTTCAGTAGTTATGGTCCCTGGACTCTGCAGCACAGGTTCAATAATTGTGGCACACAGGTTTACTTGCCCTGCGGCATGTGGGATCTTCCTGGACCAGGGACCAAACCCGTATCTCCTGCATTGGCAGGCAGGATTCTTTACCACTGAGGCACCAGGGAAGCCCAGGATTGCATTCTTATAACTGAAATCTATAGTGTTTTCAAAATAGCAGCAACAGGCAGAGAAGGAACTAAAAACTACTGGAAAAGCCACTCATCTTTGTATAGCCTACATCTGTAGACTACAGAAGGAGCAAATATAACTGTATCTTTTTTAAAAAGAAAGGCGGCGGGGGTGGGGGGGTGGGGGAGGTAAGATGTCCTTATCTTGGGCTTGCCAGGTGGCACAGTGGTAAAGAATCCACCTGCTAATGTAGGAACCTCAAGTTCGACCTCTGGGTTGGGAAGATCCAACCCAGAAGGAAATGGCAATCCACTCCAGTACTCTTGCCAGGATAATCCCATGGACAGAGGAGCCTGGTAGGCTACAGTCCATGGGGTTGCAAAAAGTTGGACACGACTGAGCAACTGAGCATGCATGCATGTACTTATCTCTTCTAAATCAGGTACTGTTCTAATCTCAAAACCCATGTCAACTCACTTAATCTTCACATCAACCCTTTTGGGAAAGTATTATTATGGCCACATTTTATAGATGAGGAAATGAAATCTCAAGTGAAGCCATACAATGGCAATCCAAGCTCCAAATTCAGGTAGCCAGAAAAATCTCCTAACATACCCAATAGGGTCAAGTAATTACATCATCCCTTGTATGCATCTTTTGGGCTTCTCAGGTGGTGCAGTGGCAAAAATAATCTACCTGCCAGTGCAGCAGGTGCAAGAGACATGGGTTTGATCCCTGGGTTGGAAAGATCCTCTGGAGAAGGAAATGGCAACCCGCTTCAGTATTCTTGCCTGGGAAATCTCACAGACAGAGGAGCCTGAAGGGCTATAGTCCATGGGGTTGCAAAGACATGACAACGGCATGCATCTTTTATTGTTGTTTAGCCATCCAGAGTTAACTTTTCAAGGTTAACTGTCCAGAGTTAGCTTTTCAAGGTTTTCAGTGTTGCCTTCTCCAACTAGTCTTGAGCATCTGTGAGCTGGGGCCTTTCTTAATTTCTCTCCAAGTGCCCTGCAGCCAGTGATGTACCCATCTTGGAATGTTCTATTCCCTCTGCCCCAAAAAACCTCTCCCCTTTCTTGTTTGGCTAGTTTTTACTGACCTTTAACATCTTTTTGTCTGATGGAACCTCTCCTGACAGTACAATCCCTTCAGCTCCAGATAAACTTGAGACCCTTCATTTGGATTCTCCCACCATTGGATCCTTCTTTATAGCATTTATTGTTGTTATATTGGTGTTGCCCATTCAACTGTCAGTCTTCCTGCATAGACTGTCAGCTCCATGAAGTCAGGGGCCAGGTAATTCCCTGCCCTCCACTGCATCCCCAGCAGCCAGCACAGAGCAGGGCATACAGGAGATGCCTAATATGGAATTTGTTTTGTTTTGCTTTATTTTGTAAGTCTGATGCTAAATCCATAGTTGGTTTCTTCCAAGATGTTTGAGCAGGCTACTAAGCTTTCAGAGTGTGAGGAGTTTCATTTTTTTTCTTCTTGTTTCTTCACTGCCAGCTGACATCACGAAGTACAGTGGTGTCCACTCTGATAGGGGCAGTTCAGAATACCATTCACCGACTAAGTTCTCTCCTAACACCAGTTAGTAAAATCCTAGGGTTCTGTCTGCTTCTGTAGACTTCCTGGCCTCCTCTGTGATCTGAGCACTAAGATCTCCTCTTGCCTATCTCATAGAATGTGAACTCCTTGGAGAGGTAAGGAGGACTTTATTCATTTCTGCAGGTGCCTAAAAATAGGCTCTCAGAAACCAAAGAGCCTTAGGCCATTTACTTTTTTTTTTTTTTTTTTTTGTCTCTCTCCATATTAAAGAAATTTTGGAAGAAAAAAATTAATTCCCAATACAGGCTATGTGGCCCAATAATGTGACAAAGAAGTAGAAATCTCTATGATGAATGTGTCTTTTGTTAATCCCACCGGAGACTCTACAATTATTCCATGTATAACCCAATTTGGAGATATTTATGTCAAAAACCTAAATTTGAAGCCCAGGCCAAATGCTTCCTTAACCCAAATCCTGTTGGCCCTGCCTCAAGGAAGTCATCACCAGATGTTTGGTGAAGGAAGGAGGGAAGGCAGGAAAGAGGGAAGGAGGAACAAGGGAAAGGGCACAGGAATTTAAAATGGGTTAATAATGAAGAGGGGCTTCCCTGATGCTTCAGGAATAAAGACCCTGCCTGCCCATGAGGAGACGTTGGTTCGATCCCTGGGTGGGGAAGATGCTCTGGAGAAGGCGATGGCAACCCACTCCAGGATTCTTGTCTGGGAAATGCCATGGACAGAGCCTGTCCATAGCGTCGCAGTCCATAGTGTCCAGTCCATAGAGTTGCAGAGTCCGCAAGACTTATGGACTAAACAACAACATAATAATAATGAAAAGAGTATTTCGTAAACTGCAAACTGGAGGACATTTACGAAAGTTTATTGCCACCGTAACAACCCCCAATTCTCTAGGCTGTCTGCAGTGGCTCAGAACCTGCGAACCAATTTGAACGTGGGCCCACACTCTCCGCCTTTCGTATCCAGAGCTTTGGTTTCATTGCGCGCGCCCGCCAGGGGCCTCGCGGAAACGCGCCAACCCATCCCTCCGGAAGTGACGTGTCCACGGCCTAGCAACCGTTGCCAAGGAGCTCGTCTCTAGGAACCCACTAGAGCCTGGATGCCTCTTGTGGGGTAAAGTGGTTTCGTGAGGAGAATTTGAGGTAACGTCGCCAAGTCGCGGTCGGAAACTCCCCTGAACCCCGGAATAGAAGAGAACTCCCTCCCCCTCCCCTTCCGCTTCCCAATGCGGCACCTCGAGAGTGGAGGGAGGGGTCGCAGCAGTTAAACCCCCCACTTCGGGGGTCAGTTCCCGTGGGGCCTCGCAATGATCCAGGCGGCTCCCCAACAAGATGAACCGTAGGAGAGCCCAGAGCAGCCCTCGCGAGGTGCCTGGGTCAAACGTGGGGTCCTCTGTCCCCTCTCCCGAGCCCCAGGGGCGGGAAGTGGCGGGGGAACTATTTTGGGGGATCTTAGGAGGCTTGTGCCAGCCTGGGACCCGGATAGCGCCGCTTCTGTTCCGAGTTGTGCCAGATAAACGCCTGCCCTGGTTTTAATTCTCCCCCACCCCCTCGGGTTCTTATGTGGGTGAGTGCTTGTGCTTGTGAATTAGTGAGGCGACTTTCCGCTGGAACAGGGAGAGTAATTGCTTTTGCTAATTTTAGAGCGGAGAACCCACTGGGCATAGACAACCTACCTATTCAGTACATCTTCGTCCTTAGCGGGTGACCATCTGAAAGCTGGTGGGCAGCTAGGAGTGAAAATCAACTGGTTTCTTTTCCTCTCCTAGTAACGTTTTATGCGTTTATCCTAGTATTTTGGGTTTTGGAAGGGAAAAAAAGGATATATGTGTGTATATGTTATGTTTTATATACATACAATTTTTACATATATATAGTTTCTAAAGAATGAAAAATTGAGTATATCCGTGTGTGAAGATTGTGACATGAAGTTTTACTTAATATACTTTACACAGTGGAAAATTTGCATCTCCAGTGTGGATTTTTATTTATCTGAAGGTTTTCCTTTTATAGCTTAAAGGAAACCTTAAAATTTTAAACCACATTGGTTATCTTTTTTTTTACTATGTTTTGGCTTATTTTTCAAAAATGATATAATCATTTACTCATAATTTTATCATAATTATAAGAAAATGATAATACTTTTACATTTTGATGTTTTCTAAGTATCCAACTCTACCTACCCAATTTAAAAAATCTGTTTCAGAGCAAGATGCATGCAACTCCAACTAATGTCTTAAGTAAATTAGCATCTCTTCATTTCATGGTTAAAAACTATTAGGGAACACTGAAATATTTTTTTCCTTATTTCTTTTTTCTGGGCAGTTCACTGTTAAATTCATTTTTTAAAACTGCTACTCTAAAAAACTGCCTGTCTGCAAATTTCTACCACTTTTCCCCATACTAAACACATGATGTCTGCATGCAAGAAACACTAGGAGCCATGGTTAAGCTGTTTCAGCCATTAAATAATCAGATAATCAATTTTAAAAAGTTATAATCTTCCTCACTGCCACCTTGTTTAGGCTTATGCTTATTTTCTGGCCTTGGGCCTGTGAACAAATTCATTCTAGTGGAAGAAGTTGCTGTTTTATATGCGATATTCAAAGATAGAATTAGGCACAGATATGTCCTCAGGTGGGCTTCCTGGTGGCTCAGAGGTAAAGAATCCATCTACCAATGCAGGAGACTTGAATTTGATCTCTGGGTTGGGAAGATCCCCTGGAGAAGAAAATGGCAACCCACTCCAGTATTCTTGCCTGGGCTTGAACAGGGCTTGAAAAATGGTAAGGTTTTGTACCTCTGGAAATAGGGGAAAGGGAAAACAGCCCTAGGCAGAAAAAACAGCATCAACTGAAGGCAAAGATGGAAAAACTATGTAGAGAGTAGTGCTTATTTTAGTCAGCTGAAGTTTGAAAGGATGTAAGGTAACAATTTGGAAACAAAACTGAGGAATGCTAAATTGAGCTTGGGCTTCCCAGGTGGCGCTAGTGGTAAAGAACCTGCCTGTCAGTGCTGGAGAAGAAAGAGATGCAGGTTTGATCCCTGGGTCAGGAGGATCAGAGGAAGGCATGGCAACCCACTCCAGTGTTCTTGCCTGGAGAATTCCATGGATGGAGGACCCTGGTGGGCTACAGTCTGTAGGGTCACAAAGAGTTGGACACAACTGAAGTGACTTCAGTCAGTTCAGTTCAGTTGCTCAGTTGTGCCCAACTCTGCGACCCCATGGATCACAGCACACCAGGTTTCCCTGTTTATCACAAACTCCCAGAGCTTGTTCAAACTCATGTCCATTGTGTCAGTGATGTCATCCAACCATCTCATCTTCTGTTGTCCCCTTCTCCTCCCGCCTTCGATCTTTCCCAGCATCAGGATCTTTCCCAGTGATTCAGTTCTTTACATCAGGTGGCCCAAGTATTGCAGTTTCAGCTTCAGCATCAGTCCTTCCAATGAACACCCAGGGCTGATCTTCTTTAGGACTAACTGGTTTTATCTCCTTGCAGTCCCGGGGACTCTCAAGAGTCTTCTCCAACACCACAGTTCAAAAGCATCAGTTATTTGGCACTCAACTTTCTTTATAGTCCAGCTCTCACATCCATACTTGACTACTGGAAAAACCACAGCTTTGACTAGATGGACCTTTGTCAGCAAAGCAATGTCTCTGCTTTTTAAAACACTGTCTAGGTTTGTNGCCAGGCATTTTGCATGATGTACTCTGCATATAAGTTAAATAAGCAGGTGACAGTATACAGCCTTGACGTACTCCTTTCCTGATTTGGAATCAGTCTGACAATGAGAAGCCTACAAAATGATTTGGAATGGGAGAAGCAGAGATGAACAGTTGAAGGCCAAGAAAGTGAAGGCCTGAGTTACTCAAGGGTGGCAGAGTTGAGGCCTACAGGCCATGCCAAGAACATCAATGGGTGAAGAGTGCTTGGTGGAGGAAACCAAAACAAAACCAAAGAGCACATATTGTTTCGTCCCTAAGTCATGTCTGACTCTTTCATGACCCCATGGACCATAGCCCTCTAGGCTCCTCTGTCCATGGGATTTCCCAGGCAAGAATATTGGAGTGGGTAGCCATTTCCTTCTCCAGGGGATTTTCCCGACCCAGGGGTTGAACCCACATCTCTTGCACTGGCAGGTGTATTCTTTACCACTGAGCTACCTGGGAAGCTCAAAGAATGCATACCTAAGGCTGAAGTTTGCAACCTCTGCCCAGCTTCCCTTGTGGCTCAGCTGGTTAAGAATCCACCTGCAATGCGGGAGACCTGGGTTTGATCCCTGGGTTGGGAAAATCTCTGGGAGAAGGGAAAGGCTACCCACTCCAGTATTCTGGCCTGAAGAATTCCATGGACTATATAGTCCATGGCGTTGCAAAGAGTTGGACATGACTGAGTGACTTTCACTCACTCACCCAGCTTCAGTTGGTTGTGGCCATATACCTAGTGGGTCCAGGGTTCCCAGATCTGATTATCCAGAGAATTTGGAAACTTGGATTAATGTGGGCTTCTAATTAAAAAAAAAAATTCGAAGCATGTCTACAGGCTAAGTTTTACCCCTGGGTTGAAATTGTGGAGCTGAATGGAAGAAATGTTAATGTGGGTGGGTTTTATATTCACTTGTCCATGTTAATTCAGATGATTGCTATCAGATGAATATACAAAAACATGTCGTTGAATATTATCAATATGTACTGTAGCATTCCTAATAAAGTCTGCATACTCTTTCTTTCAACAAAATAACTCTTTTCACAGCATTTTATATTCCATGTAGAATACATTCCATGCCTACTTCCTATGAACTTAATACTGACCTTCTGGTGTCTGTATTTTGTTAATACAGAATTTTTGTTTCTAATATTGAGGAATTTTTTTTCTGTATTTTTACTCTTTAGTTTAAATTATAAGACCTAATTATGAGTGATCAAATCAAATTCATCGTGGACAATCTCAATAAGGAACCTTTTAGGAAGAACTATAATTTAATCACATTTGATTCCCTGGAGCCAATGCAACTATTACAAGTTCTCAATGATGTTCTGGCTGAGATTGACCAAAAGGTAAGAGTTTTCTTTTTCTCTGTGATGAAAAGGGTGGCAAAAATAGCAAGTTTCTGCCACTAAATATCTGTGATTTGGGGGCAAATTATTTAACCTCTCTGGGCCTAGTTTTCCATTCCTATAAAGTGATAGTAGATGATCTTTAAGATTTCTCTACTAGCTCAAAAATTAAATTACCTCCTTGTACCTTACTTAGAAATTCTTTGTGCACTTCCAAACATAAATAAATTTGGTCCTGGAATGAAAATGCTTTTACAAAAGGTTTTATTGTGTTGCAAGTTAGCTCATGTCTCTTATACACTGGTCTTTTCCACTGGAGACTTTTTTAAGCTTGGCATTCTTAGTATGAATCCTGATCTAGCTTGTATGTACCCTCCTTTGGAATCTGGAAGACTCCATACTTAATCTGTTTTATGAAGAGACCATTGTGACTGTTACACTCTAGTAGAACAATTTTGACAGTGAGTTTCAATATTGTACTTTGTTATATTTGTAATAATAACATTTTTTCAATTTCTTTATTTGTTAGCAAGTTGTTGATATCAGAGAGGAGATGCCAGAGCAAACAGCCAAAAGGATGTTGAGCCTTCTTGGTATCCTTAAATACAAACCTCCAGGAAATGCTACAGACATGTAAGAATCTGTTCAAGTGTTGCTTTCTTAGAGCTGTACTTTAATATCCAAACCTTCATAGTCAGTCTTTCTGGCAATACTTGTTTTCCCTAAGTCAGTGGCCTCACAAAATCACTGAATTTCAAAATAATCTTGATTTTTTAATGTTATTTTGTTATGTAGGAGTCTTAAGTGAGTCAGTTCTTTCTCTTAATCAAAACAGTCAGGCAAATCCATGTTTCTGTTTTATCATTTATCTGCCATCCTATACAAAAGCTACAATTTAAGCCTGTCCAGTCAGTGAAGTGAAGTATTAGGACTGACCAGTTAATGGTTCCAAAACAACCTCCTCATATATTCCAGTGATGTATTAAGGGCCTAATTTTATGATTATTGTCAATGTGCAGACTTACTTTAGAATAGCCTTGGTTTTATCTTTTTTAAATAGTCATGGAAAAGTGTAAATTGGATTTGAGCAAACGTTAACTCTTTTCAAGGTTTACTTATAAGCCTCTGTGTGTGTGTGTGTTTGTGTGTATTTTCTTTTTATAGGAGTACCTTTCGTCAGGGTCTGGTGATTGGAAGTAAACCTGTAATTTACCCAGTGCTCCACTGGCTTCTTCAGAGAACTAATGAACTGAAGAAAAGAGCATATTTAGCTCGTTTTTTAATAAAACTTGAGGTACCAAGTGAGTTTCTCCAGGATGAAACCGTGGCTGATACCAATAAACAGGTATACAATATATAAATGGTATTTTTAAGCTATATGTAATGGGTTTCAAGGTTTCAAATATATGTTAATCTCACTTTAGTTTATTTGCTGTTTCTGTATTTCCATTGGAACCAAAAGGATAAATTGTTATCAATAATTTTCACCTGTAATCACTCTATGAAAATATTGACTTCTGAACACCAGTACCTTTTTGGTGATAGAGTATGTAGATAGAAAAAATCCTGAAATTAGGATTTTAGAATAATTTACCACTTAGGAATTGTGCATAGTTAAATGAACTTTTTGACCGACTCAGTACCATGAGGGTGGGGGTTCAATAAAGGGTATGTGGACTTTCTTTGTACTGTTTCTTACAACTGAATCTGCCATCACCTCAAAAGTTTAACTAAACTTTATAAATGTCCTTAAATGAATAAATACATGTGGATTTTTAAAAAAACAAATTGTGGGTAGATAGGATCCTGAGCTTGGAACTGCAGAATACTTTGTTAATTAATTAGTTAGGTGACTATATAATTTGTCATCCAAATTAGGAGGGTGGTTATCATAATAATTACACTAGAGCAAAAGGTATAAATTGGCACTATACCAGGTGGATTGGGACTTGTGAGCACCTTCAAAAATTGTGTGTAGGCAAAGAAGCCAGGCTTATGATCTCAAAGGATGTCCTAATCAGGCAGAAGGTAGAGAAAGAACCAGGAATTTGCAATTTCAGTGTACTTTCCTCACCAGAGTTTTGGTGTAATATTGGGTTTCTGGCCTTGAGATATTAAAGCTCTTAACTATACAGGATTTTGGCTGGTCTGGCTCCTGGTCCTGGGATTTCAAAGCATGTTGCTGATTGAAGACTGTCAAAACCACTCTATGGAAATAGACTATGGAAATTAGAGAATTTAGGCTTAAGATTGCAAGGAACTTTGATTTAAAAGAAAAAATTTGCTTCTCTTTAGCATTTGTACTTTTGTTTTATAGTAGGTCTTTAGACCAATTTGTGCCAGTTTGTTGTGAATTTTAATAGTTTGTCAGTCTGTCTCCCAGTAGATATGTGAGATCGCTAAGGACAGGTATCATGTCTTAGCCATCTTTGCTTTCCTCCAGGGTTTTGTAGGGTGGCTTCTGTATGGTATGGGCTCAAAATTTGTGTTGAATTGAAACAATCTACTAAATGCTTTTTATCCATATATTTTGTCATTTTGGGTAGCCATGATAGTCACTCAAAATAGAGTCAGTATTGATCTCTTAAGACATTTCAAGGGTTGAAAGGTTTATGCAAATAATTATGTCAAATAATACAGTAGACGCCTTGAGAAAGCACAGCACCATTGCAGCCCCTACTTTTGAAGGCTTTACACAATGTAAGCAATAGAGAGTGTACACATGCACTATTTCCTCCTCCCTACCCTCCCCATCAATAAATTTGATAGAAACTAATTCTTCTGAAGGAAGTTTATTAATAGTTTTTATCAAACATACCCAACTAATTATTAATGGAAGAATTAATAATACTAAAGACATATTTGTTCTTGAAGCATGTTTGAAGTGTATGTGTGAAATGATTTACATGTTTAGCAAGTCTTTTAGCGGAGAACCTAATAAAAAATTCACATTGTCTTTCTAAATGAAGAGTTTTAGAATGATTGATTTATAAACTTGCAGAATATATGTCAAGAAAAAATAATTTTCTGTCATTATCCACAAAACCTATTTTAAAAAATTTTGGGGTAAGAATTGTGACTTTTTTTTCCTATAACTGCTTTTTTATTGAACACCTATATCGGTTAAGTACTATTCTAGGCCCTAGGGATACAGAAGCCTCCACAAGTAATATGATTCTTGTCCTCCTGACTCTCAGTGTCCAAAGGTGGAGACAGATAAGTAGCTAGCAGTTATAAGTTTATATGATATTTACTCTGATATCATGGTACTCGTATGGAATAGATACGGGGCTAGAGAAGGCTGCTTTGGGGATGCTGAGATCTGAAGGATGAGTAAGTTATCCAGGAAAGGAATGAGGGAGTCATAGAGTGTTCTCAGACAGAATAGGGTGTGTAAAGTGAAGGTGGATGGAATAGGGTGTGTAAAGTGAAGGTGGATGGAATAGGGTGTGTAAAGTGAAGGTGGATGGAATAGGGTGTGTAAAGTGAAGGTGGACTATACCAGGAATTTAAAGAAGATCAACATAGCTAGCATATGGAGTGTTGGTTAGGAAAGTAATCAGGGAAGTCTTTAGAGGCCAGATTATATACACCAACATTTTTGTGTCCTGTATGAATGTTTAAGGATATATTTTAGTGCTGTTCTATACTGATTAAATAATGACTATAAGTTAATAGATGACCTGATTAAGGAAACCTACTGGATCTCGTCATTAGTTTATAATTTTTTAACTTGTTCTTTTAGTATGAAGATTTGATGGAAGCCTTTAAAACTTTGCATAAAGAATGTGAGCAGCTCAAGACATCTGGATTTTCTACAGCAGAAATAAGAAGGGTAAAGAAAAAACAATAATGATTTTGGTGGGAATTTGAATTAAATTCAGAATGTCTTAAAGACTATAGAAACTAATGATAGCAAATGGCAAATTTTCTTTTGTAGGACCTTTGCTGATTCTTTACCGAAGACATTTGAGGCCAGGGTTAACTCATGGTTAATTCTTATGTACTATTGATATATAGAGCACTTTGTCGTTGTTCAGTCACTAAGTCATGTCCAACTTTTTTGCAACCCCATGGACCAGAGCCTACCAGACTCCTCTGTCCATGAGATTTCCCAGGCAAGAATACTGGAGTGGATTGCCATGTGCTCTTCCTGGGGATCTTTCCGAGCCATGGATCAAACCCAAGTCTTCTGCATTGGCAGGCAGATTCTTTACCACTGAGCCACCAGGGAAGCACAGATAGATCACTACCATGGATTAAAAGTAATTATGTTTTGGGTCTTTATCTAATATATATGTATACACACACACACACACACACACACATAAAGTCTGTGTTATAGAAGAAAGAAAAATAAAAGGAAAAAAATCTAATTGTTAACATTTGTTGCACTATATCCTTTCAGATTTTGTGTATATGTGTGTGTGTATATATTTGGGATCACACTATACATAATTATTTGTATCTTGTTTTTTTAATCATTGCATTGTGAATATTTTCCCATTGTTATCTTTCTACAATATGATTTTCAGTGAGTAAATAGTATTCTATGGTACAGATAGTTTTACAGTTTTGGTGTTTTGTTTTCATATTTTGCTATTATAGATAATACTATGATTATCTTCTACATAAATTTATTTTGGGCTATCTGTGATTATTTCCTTAGAATAAATTTCTAGAAGTAGAAAGCATTTGAGGACTTTTATGTCTTTCTTGATGCATGTTATTTAGTGTTCTCCAAAAAATATTTTTGTATTTTTGTACTCTCACCAGACATATAAGTTCTTTCTTTAAAAAATTGCTAATTCTCACTTTCTTGAATTTTATATTTTTAGAAATAACATCTTTATCTTCTCAAACAAGAATCATTAGAAGTTGCTTCCTCAGGGAGGCCCTTCCTTGATTCTCTAGATAGATTAGTTCACCCCAATTCTTTTTGTTTTATAACACTCATTGTACTTACGATTATTTTAGTGTCTGTCTTCCCAGACATTTTAAACTCTGTGAGGGCGAGGACCATGTCTGTATATCTTATCTATGACAATATCCCCAGTGTCTATCCCCAGTCCCCTGCAGGTAGTAGGTCTCCAATAAGAGTTTGTTGAATGTATTAGAAACGAAAGATGAAGTCACATCTAATAGAAAAGAAAGACCCATAAGTAGATACTTATCACAAAGGATGGAGTAAAGGTGATAGATACCCATCTGCTGTTCCTCCATTATGCCATGTGAGTAAACAGAAATGATAAAATAACCTAGAGTCTGTGATTTTAATTTTATTAATTATTACCAGAGTGTTTTGAACATATTCTTTGTAAGGAAATACGATTAAGCAAAAAATAGAAACTAATTCACTTAAAATCCCATGTTCTTTGGTAACTTTTACTGCCATTTTAGTGAATATATGTAAACCTTTTTCTTGGTATTGTATTATATATAAATGTCATAGTCTGCTTTCAAGTAATGCCATATCATGACTTCTTCTCATGTTATCCAGCATTCTTCTGCATAATTTTTAGTAACTTTAATTGTGTTGTGCCATAATTCACTTAATAATCCTTAGACATTTGGGTCATTTCCAAATTTTAGATATAATTAGCATCTATGAGAATCCTTATAGATTCCCATGGGTAAAATTACTGAGCCAGAAGGTATGCACATTTATTTTAAGACTTTTGAAATTATTCTTCAGGACAATACCACCAATAATAACAGTCCCTGTTTCCCCAGATCCTGGCAATACTGACCACCATGTGTATTTTTCCTTTATTATTACTGTGAGAGTTAGCTTGTTAGTTTTTGAGGTTTAGCAAGGATTTTTTTGCTTGTTTTGTTTTCATTAGAAAAAATTGTGGAGCTGGTGGAAATATTTTTTTTGAAATCTTTTATTTTTAGAAAGGGAATTGGTTAATTGACAAAACCAGACACAAATTTATATATTGAAAACACCATAACCTTAAAAATAATTTTACTGGAAAACTGACAGAACATAAAGTTTGGTGTTTAACAGAGCAGATGGGATGTCAGCAGCTGTTGTTCATGTTTTTAGACCTGCACACTATCCATTATAAAAGATTTTTGAAAAATCATGTGTCCATATTGGAATTAGAACACATTTTCAACACATTTGAACCCAATTAGAACACAATTGGGCTAGTTGGCAGTTTCACCTTACTATTTTATATCCTGTTGCTTTTCTAAATGAATATCAAGCTACCAAATAAATTACTCTGCATAAAGAACCCTGGAGAGGAAGGGCGGGTGGCAGATAGAAATGCACTTCTTCCAAAAGAGGATCTTTGTTTCTTAATGCTCTGGTTATAAGTGATGGAAGTGGTAAATGTGTAATCATATGGAAACCTTATCTGAATTCTACAGACAAAGAATATTTTTTCTTATAATGTCTTCTTGACTGCTTTTTAGGATATCAGTGCAATGGAGGAAGAAAAGGATCAGCTTATTAAGAGAGTTGAACGTTTGAAGAAAAGGGTAAGGCAAGAATTAGCACTGTAAAACTTTGACCCTCAGTCCCAAGGACTTGCAAACAGTTAGGAATTGCAAGTAAAGGTTAAGCAAGGCATAAGTGTACGTCTGAAGATGGAGTCAAATAACATGAATAGAAAGGGAATCTCCATAGGCAACAGCCCAAAGCTTTCAAGGCCCTGGAGTCTGAAACTTTAGGGTCATCTCTAGGGAATGCTGTTTACCAAAAGGAAATTATAAGTGAATGTCTGGGGCATGTGACATGCTAATGTCTCTCTTAAACCTGACAGTAACATATACTACTTATTCCCTTACTGTAGGTGGAGACAGTTCAGAATCATCAGAGGATGCTGAAAATAGCAAGGCAACTTCGAGTTGAGAAAGAGAGAGAAGAATTTCTTGCACAACAGAAACAGGAACAAAAAAATCAGGTACCCACATAAAAGTTTATATTGTGATGATGAAAGAAATAGTTTCTTCTGATCATTCAGGTATTAAGAGGAATGTTTTCAGAATTGAGGATGTTCATGTTTCCCTTTGTTAACATGATGAAATACCCTTTTTAAGAGTATTGCATGGTACCAACAGCAAAAACAAAACCATCTTTTGGGTTTCTATACTTCATGCATATCTGTGCACTCTCTCTTGGGCCATGCTTAACTTATGTTGTTCCAGCATTACAGAATATCCATTGTAATGTTAAGTGGTAAGATTAACTGTTAATAGAACTTCTAGAATCTCTAAAGGGTGTCTTGAGATTCAGACTGTATGAGAACATCTATTTTATTCCACGAATCATCGTATTTTTTATGTTTTACTCCAGTGGCAAATAAGCAAATCATGAAAAGACTCAAAATCACACGTACTCCACATTTTTAGGTTTTGCCTTAAAGAAAAAAGTAATTTGGCAGAAAGTATTTCTTTTATTTTATTAAAAATCTACCTTAAAACTGAGTGGACTTGTGTATTAGAATTGTATTTCAAATCAGCTTCATTTCCTACTAAATGGGCAGTTTAGGTTTTTGGCTCTTTTGGAACTNAAATCACACGTACTCCACATTTTTAGGTTTTGCCTTAAAGAAAAAAGTAATTTGGCAGAAAGTATTTCTTTTATTTTATTAAAAATCTACCTTAAAACTGAGTGGACTTGTGTATTAGAATTGTATTTCAAATCAGCTTCATTTCCTACTAAATGGGCAGTTTAGGTTTTTGGCTCTTTTGGAACTTGGCTTGGCATTATAATATTAGAACAGTAAGCTGCATTTGCCCGTGCCCTCAATGGTTACTTAGCTTCACTTTCTGATTCTCAGACATCATTTCTGAGAATGTTAGCATTTCTTGGAATTAAGAAAACCATGTTTTAACAGAAAAGCCTAGTACAAATATTTCTTTAACATGCATTTTTCCTTGATTACCAAATTCAACAAATAACTAAAGGAAACATTTCTGAAAGCTTTTTTTTAAAGTTTTACTTGAAAATGTATTGAGCAAAGCAGTTACATTTTTAGCTTAGTAATTTCTTAGTTCTTATTATTTATTCCCTTTATAAGAATTATGTAGAACTTGTATTTTTCATTGCTTGTCTATATAAATGGTAGGTTTCAGCAGAATAAGCAAGTAATAGATGTAATTGTATTTTAAAGCTATTTCATGCAGTGCAGAGACTGCAAAGAATACAAAACCAGCTGAAAAGTATGCGACATGCTGCAGCAGATGCGACACCTGAAAGTAAGTGTGAAATTAGTGTCTGACATAGGGGATCATATTCGTGAGAATATTAGTTTAAATCAGTAGTCTTCCTTACTAATGGGACCTGATTATTGTCAAGTGATAGGTCAGCATTTTGGGGCATCATTTCCTAGCTAGTAAGTGACAGCCTGGTGAAGACATCCTTAGTGTTCACTGAGGGTCTTTTAATTCCCTTTCAGTGTTTTGTCAGAGAGTGAAGGTAGTGGAAACCATGGTGAAGGGAGGCTCTCTGGTGTGTGAATGTATAAAATACCTAGAATGGATGCTATGAAAAAGTTGGATAGAAAAAATGTAAATATCATTTTAGTGCCAGGGCTATAAAGAAAAAGAATAAAATGCTAGATCCTTAAAACTGAGTGCTTTTCATATTTTGGGTTATGCTATTGAAATGGGTATCTCTGGCTCTGTTGTTACATTAGCTTTACATAGAGGATGGATGGCAGGAGAAGAAGGGGGCAACAGAGGATGAAATGAGTGGACGGCATCATTGGTTTAATGAACATGAGTTTGAGCAAACTCTGGGAGCTAGTGAAGGACAGGGAAGCCTGCTGTGCTGCAGTCCATGGGGTTGCAAAGAGTTGGACATGACTGAGTGACTGAACAGCAATCCCAGATTATACCACCAAACCCATCCTAGGCATTTTTAAGGTGTTTTTGCTCATCAGAAGGGAGATGATGTAAACTGAAAGAGCAGTAAAAAATTCTCATTTGTACTGGAGAAATATTTCAACGTAAATATCCAGCTCTTAGAGGATATTTTTCAAGTGTTCTAGGAAACATTATACTCTAATATATAATACATAGAATGACTATAATAAAAAAGACAGTCAATAACAAGTGTTGACAAGGTTGTGAAGAAATTGGAACCTGCATACAGTGCTGGTGGAAATGTAAAATGATTCATCTACTTTGGAAAACAGTTCGGCAGTTCCTCGAAATGTTAAACCTAGAGTTACCATATGATTCAGCAATTTTATTCCTACCCAAGAGAGTTGAAAACATATGTCCACACAAAAACTTGTATACACATGTTCATAGCAGCATTGTTCATAATGTTGTTGTTCAGTTATTAAGTCATGTCCAACTCTTTGCAACTTTATGGACTGTAGCACGCCAGGCTTCCGTGTCCTTCACTTCTCCTAGAGTTTGCTCAAATTCATATCCATTGAATCGGTGATGCTATCTAACCATCTCATCCTCTGCTACTTTTGCTTCTCCTCTTGCCTTCAATCTTTCCCAGCATCAGGGTCTTTTCATAATAGCCAAAATTTGAAAACACCACCAATGTCCCTAAACTGATGAATGAATAAACAAATTATAGCATAATCGTACAATGGAATTTTATTCAACAATAAAAGGAATGAAGTATTGATACATGCTACAATATGGATGACCTCCCAAAACATCCTAAGTGAAACAAAGACAACTTATTATGCGATCCCATTTGTATGAAATTTCCAGAATAAGCAAATACATAGAGATGTAAATCAATGATGAGTGCCTAGGGTTGGGGAATTGTAGATGAGGACAACGGTGTTGGTTGGTGTGTGGGTGATCAGGGGTAGGAGACTGCTAGTGGGCATAGAGGCTTCTTTTGAAACCTGATTAAAATGGTGTAAAATTGGTTGTGGTAGTCATTATACAATTCTGTGAATATACTAAAAGCCATTGAACCGTATGTTTTAAGTAGATGAATTTTATGGCTATATGGTAAATTATACTTCAATAAATCTGTTAAAGAGATAATACAGTATTTCCTTGATTCTAGACACATGAGCTTTAACATTTTAATTGTTTTTGCAGTTGGGGTATATCTTGCACTCTATGTATACATTTCACATGGTATTTGTTAATTTAGTTGATGTCTTATAATTGATAGCATCTTAAAATCAAAGAAATATGGCACATTTAATTGACATTTAAGAAACCACTATAGTATTCCCCATAAAATGTATGGTTAATACATGTTAATTAATGACTTCCCGTAGAATCTCTTGGGCTTCCCTGGTAGCTCAGAAGGTAAAGAATCTGCCTGTAATGCAGGAGTTTGGATCCCTGGATCCCTGGATCGGGAAGATCACCTGGAGAAGGCAGTGGCTACCCACTCCAATATTATTGTCTGGAGAATACCATGGACAGAGGAGCCTGGCGGGCTACAGTCCATGGGGTTGCAAAGAGTCAGACATGACTGAGTTGTTTAACCATGTGAAATCTGTCACTCCTCTCAATCATAAATTCAGATTCAAGCAATACCTGGAAGTTGCTGTGCATGTAGTTGTTGGCATCATTTGATTCTTTATTCACTAGGTTTTCACTTTTTAGGAGAATGTTTAGGACAAAAGAAAGTAATTTTTAGTGCTTTTTTACTCCTTAGTATAATATACAATATAACTTTTTAGTATATGATCTCTGGATTTAATGTAGATTCCTTCACATCTTTAGTGTAAAAAATTAAGATAAATCTTCAAAAGAAATTCATTAAATTATACACATTTAAAAATTAATATCAACAAGAAATTTGTTTGCATAGGTCTATCTTTGCTAAGAAATTTTTAGAACTTACTATTAATAGTGAATTTTTGAAAATGAAAGTAATGTGTAGAAGAATTGAAAGATTTAGTAAGCAGAAAAATAACTTATTGATCAGCACAGTTTACTACAATTTAAAATGTTAACCTGAGCATGTGTTTCTTCAGTGTCTGTTATCCTCAATTTTATTAGGTTAAATATTTCTTGCTGTTATGGTTTACTTCTGGTAACTAAGAATATCCAAAGGTATTTATAGTGTTAGTAATATTTCATTTTTTTATTTGAGCAGATAGACTTTATTTTGCTTTGGCTTTATAGACTAAATAAAATTTTGAGGTCAGGAAATACATATTTAGTAATGAAATGGACAAATAAAATTTGTTCTCTTTGGGGGCATCTCTTGAGATGGTTTAGTAGATTCTGCTAAATAATAAAATCAATTGTATTGCTAAGTAGTAATAGAAATATTTGGCTCAGTCCGTTAATTCAGTGTTTATTGAACATCTGCTCCATGTCAGGTGCTATACTAAGTACTGGAAATAGAAAGCAAAGCTATTTCTATTAAAGTGCTCACAGGCTAATGGAGAAATGACAAGCAGTGGACAATAATAATGCAGCATGACAAATAAACTGATAGAGCCCAGCTTCAATGAAAAGAAAGAGGCAAAGAGCACCAAACTCCAGCACGTGTGTTAGTCGCTCAGTCATGTCCGACTCTTTGCAACCCCATGGACTATAACCTGCCAGGCTCCTCTGTTCATGGAATTCTCTGGGCAAGAATACTGGAGTGTGGGTTGCCATTCCCTTCTCCAGAGGATTTTTCCAGCCCAGCGATTGAACCTGGGACTCCTGCATTGCAGGCAGATTCTTTACCGTCTGAGCTACTCTAACACAGTCAAATGGCTTCCTGGAGGTGTGGTGATTGAGTAGCTTAAAGCTGCAGAGGTGGAGGAGTAGAAGACATTCCATGCTAAAGCACAGTGACCTAAAATAACAGTGCAGTGGGCTGAGCAAATGATGGAGGAAGTAGAGATAAAAGGTCAGGCTTCTACTGCTTGTCTTTGAAAAGAAGGCAAGGGAGGGAGTGTGGGAATGATTGAGAAATCTATGCATAGTTTGAGGGATGGTAGTGGTGTAGTGGTGTTTACATTACTGAAGAGTCAGTCAGACCAAGGAAGATGTGAAGATTCAGGAGGAAAAGGTAAGAACCTGTAGCAACCTTTCCTGTATGCTCCCATTGTATCCCAGGTATTTCATTGAATGTTCTACAGCAGTTACCATAACATGTTAATTGTTGGCATAGCTGACTGACTCAGCTAAACTCTGGGCTAGTCATGAAGTCATAATTATTCTATTTTCAGGCCTTAGCACACAGATTTGCACAGTAAGCATTTAGTAAATAATCTGTTAAATACTTGGGAGGAGAAAGTAGAGACCCTAACCCTGCATAGGAAGAAAATTATCTTTTCCACAGGTAGGAGGGGAATCAAGGAAGAAAAAACAGCTAAAAATATTAAAATAAGGTATTATTTGTGCAATATGTGTTTTTTGTGGGTTGACAGGGAATGGGGAGCAGGAAGTTCAGTCCCTGCTTTGTTGACATTGTTCTGGGAAGCAGAGTCTTAAGGATTATATTCAGCAGACTAGGAAAAGAGTAAATTAAACAGATGTTCAATTGCTTCAGGTATTTAGTTTAATAAGGCCCATCTAAATATTTTAGTTACAAAAAATGGCTTACAAAAAAATTCTATTTGCTTAAATAGCGTGAAAGTATTTTGAGTGTCACAGTATAATTTGTATTTTTTCCGAGTAACAGCCATATTATAAAACATTCACTGAAGTTAATTTATCTTTATATTCTACATATTCCTGAGATTTATTATATAAAAGAAGCTTCTTATTCAGTTGTAGTAGGATCAGCAAGATGTTTTCAGAGGGTTTTTAATCACAATGTTTGCTGAGATCTTAGTGACCTTATATTTATCTCATCAGCATGTTTTTATCAAACTTTTTGTTTTGTATTGGGATATAGTCAATTAGCAATGTTGTGGTAGTTTCAGGTGAACATGAAGGGACTCAGCCATACATATACATGTTCACCAGGATTTTGAAAGATAATTTTTTAAAAATTGCATAGAAATATGTCCACTTTTCAAAGTGTAAGTTAAGGTTTTTAAGAGAAAGATTTAAAATGTGACAGAAACTCTGTTTTTATGTTGACTTCATCTCAGCTTTACTGAGGTTAAATGGACATATAATAAACTGCAAATGTTTAAACTATACACTTGTTAAGTATTGACATATGTATACCCTGATGAAACTATCACCTTAATCAAAATATAAATATTGCTATATCCATCACTGCAAAACATTTCCTTTGTAGTATCTCATTCTTGTCCCTCTCACCCTCCTCAGACGACCATTGACCTGCTTTATGTTACTATAGATTAGTTTGTATTTTCTAGAATTAGGAACTTTTTTAAATAGGCAAATGATATTTAAGAATTTAAAATCTTTTAAAAACATTTTAGACTTTATTTCTTGCATCTCTGGGTTATATGCGATATGTTTAAGAACTTGAAGATGGAAAAACTGGTCATCTAACAGCCAAAGAAGCCAGAGTGTAGAGTTAATTGGAAACCATATAGGAATGATTGCCTAATTGTAGTGATTCATTAAACATTCTCTTCCCTTCCATTCCCCAGTCCCTAAAAAAAGATGGGAAATTGTAGGGATGAATGGAAAACTCGTGAATTTGCCATTAATAAATTTTTACCCATTAATACATGGTTAGCTCAGGAGAACTAAAAATAATTTTAAGGCTTTGGTCCAAATTTATTATGCAATTTACGTACATAGATTACTTAAACCGGAAATCCGGTGTTTTAAAAAGTCAAGCCAGAATTTGTAGATGTGTAATGGAAAGATCTGAAATAAACTTTTTAAAGCTCTTGAGGCTGGGAATTTATAACAAAATCATTATTCACTGAAAATCTGTGTATGTGTACAATTGTGCTCTCTGCCAGAATAAGAAAACTATTAAATCTTAAAAATATAATCTAAGTTGTCACTTAACTGTAAACTTAATACTTTATGAAATCAAAACTACCAAATGTGGAAAACTGAAAATGTTTATGAATGTAGATAATTTCTCTTTTTCAGAATTTAACTTGTACCTTTAATAATGTCTTCATTGGTTTAAACCTAAAAATTACAATGTATTATTAGGATTTGTGAAGTATTAGAATAGAAATATAAATTGCATAAGTACTGCAAAAGAAGAAGAATAAATGACTACTTACAGAGGAAGTAACCTGGATTAGACTTCATTTGTGTTGTCATTTGGTTCATGGGTTCTTTAAATACATAGAAGACAAAATATGATCCAACAATATATTTGGCTCTGTAAATGTTATTTTTGCATAATGTGGAGTATAAAAGAATTATATGGTAATTTGGGAATATCATAATATTACTTTTTCTATAATTTAAATATTCTTCTATGTAAATTGTCTTTATTATCATTCTGATTAACATCAAAAAGTTTCAGTGGCCAATCCTTTATTGTTCTGTAATGTCAGCCCACTGCAGTATTCTTGCCTGGAAAATTCCTGTGGGCTACAGTCCATGGGGTCACAGAGTCAGACCTACTCTCTCCAGGTTGTATGTTTTAAAATGTAGAAAGGATCACTGTAAGTAGAAAGGATCACTGTACCTACTCTGTTGGGCTGAATAATCACTTATTTAATTTTTATAGGTTTAATGAAGAGGCTAGAGGAGGAGATAAAGTTTAATTCATATATGGTAACTGAAAAATTTCCTAAAGAATTAGAGAACAAGAAAAAAGAATTGCATTTTTTACAAAAAGTGGTTTCAGAGCCTGCTATGGGCCATTCTGATCTTCTTGAACTTGAATCTAAAGTAAGTAACAGTCACCTTTTTATAAGCTCCCAATTTTATCTCTTCTCCAGTCCCGTGAAAATTATGTGAACTGCTACTGTAGTGTTCTGCTCTTGACTCTGAAATTAACCTGTGCCAAGAGTTGACAGCTCTTATAAGGAATTGTTCTTTATGAGAAATTATAACACATGATGTTGTTACTTAATCCACAACTGATGAGGAAGCTGGGTAACTTGGAGAAATAAATTAATGCATATGGTTGACTCATAGGTTTATATGTTTATAATATAATCATTTAGATGACAAATTTTAAAAAATATTTTAAATGATTACTTTTTATTTCCAAAAATAATATAGCAATTTTGTACTTAAAGCTAATGTTTTTTATTAGCTTTTTATGCCTGCTTTGGAATTATTAAACTTTCTTGTAATGTTCATTGAAACCTAATATCATAGCATTTTTTATTTTTAAAAATAAAATACTAATCAAGTGTTTATTTCTTTAAATAATAATTAAATATCATGAAAATTGATTGAAGGATTTTGACATTAATGGGCTTAATAACCCCTACAGTTAAATACATAATTCTTTTAATTTATGTTTAGAAATTAGTTGTCCAACTCATATTTGGCTTAAATTTGATCTCATAGGATTAGCAGGAAAATTCTAGTCTTTTCAAAGGATAGTTATATTGAAAGTCATAGAATTAAAAAAACTTACAGGACTATATGCTTCTATTGCCTTTATTCAGTTTTATTACATTTGAGAAAAGTTTAGATTAATGAATGGGATAAATGACAGCTGTCATAGAATCACAGATCATTCATTCGAACAGAAAGGGTTTTTAGATGTCATTCATGTCAACTCTCAGCTGGGTTCATAAATTCCTTGTACTAAATCCCTGGGTAATGTTAGTCCAGATCTGCTTTATCACTTAATTACTTGAAAAGTCACAGCCTAGGTGAAGGGATAACTTCAGATTTTTAGAAATTGTCTTTAAAAATAATTTAAATACTTCATATAGAATAGGATAATGTAGACATGGATGGTTAAATCCATGTAACTAATCCAATTCTGTAAATATGTAGCATGAACTATGAAATGCATATTGACTCAGTAATTGTAACAACCCATCCATGGTATTAATAGGACTGATCCTTCTATCAAAATCACTGATAATAACAACTGTCAATTCAAAGCTTTGTTTGACCAGATGTCCCTTAATTTAGGTAATCATAGCCAGGGTTTTTAACCTTTTTTATTTTCATACTGTTTTAGATAAGTGAAATAAACACACAGATCAATCAGCTGATTGAAAAGAAAATGATGAGAAATGAACCAATTGAAGGCAAACTGTCACTATATAGGCAACAGGTAAGACCTCTCGAGATTTTTGGCTCCCAAACCCACGTCTCCTGCATTGCAGGCAGATTCTTTATTGTCTGAGCTACCAGGGAAGCCCAAGAACACACTTAAGACCACTCTTTTTGGCTCACATACTTTGATCTGTAATCTTGTTAGTGAATATCTTCAGAAACACCATGGTCTGTTATCGATAGTCTTAAAGTGAGTAGGAAATAAAGAATAAAGGTTCTTCTGTCATTGTTAATCTTCAGATTAAATCAGAGAATTTCTGGAAAAGCCACAAAGATGCATGTTCAAGTCTGAAATCTGATATATCTGATAACGCTCAGTTTCCTTAGTATCTGCCAACTGTGGTGATAGTTCTCTTTGTGTTTATATCTGTGAGTGTGAAATTTGATTTTTTATGTGAATGCTTACCTCAAGTGACAGAAATAAATATTTCTAATCTTTAATGAACTAAAGTCAAAGTGTTAGTCGCTCAGTAGTGTCCTACTCTATGATCCCATGGACTGTAGCCTGCCAGGCTCTTCTGTCCATGGAATTCTCCAGTCAAGAATACTGGAGTGAGTAGCCATGCCCTTCTCCAGGGATCTTCCAGATCCAGGGATCGAACCTAGGTGTCTCCTACAATGTAGGCAGATTCTTTACTGCTTGAGCCACAAGGGAAGTCCTAATGAACTAAAGGCAATATACTTTTTCAGGTTTAAAGTTAGCTTGAAAAAAATACAGCATAAATTAAATTTTAGGGCCAAGGCATTTATCATTTTATACAGAACTATTAAATCGTGAGGATATATATGTTGTTAGGTATTGCTAGACAGAAGATTCAAGTGACAGCCAATTTGAAAATACTGAGCTACATAATAAAGCATTATTCAAGTATGCTAGAATTTTTTAAAACCTTTTTATAATGGAAAAATTTGACCATATACAAAGGTAGAGAAAATAGTCCAAATAAATCCTTGTGTGTCCTTCAGCTATAGCTATCATGGCCATTCTTATTTCATCTGTAGCCCCCAGCCGCATCTGGATTATTTGAAGTAAATTTAAGATTTCATATTATTTCACATGTAAATATTTCAGAATGTATCTCTAAAAAATAAAAGCTTTTAAAAAGCTTAACAACATACCATATTTAAAATTTTTAATATTTCCTTAATACTGGAAAATATCCAATCAATGTTCAGATTTCCTTGTCTCTTTTTGTTTTTTTTTTTTTAGTTGCTTTGTTTTAATTAGGATCCATACAGGATTTATACATTGCATTTGTTTGATGTTTAAATCTCTCTTAATCTATAGACTCTCTTCCTTATTTATCCATTTATTTAATAATTTTTTTGTAGTTTTTTATTGAAGAAATTTATTTTTCCTATGGCATTTCCCATAGTTGATGTTTTGTTGATTACAACTGAATGGTGTCCTTTTAAAATGTTCTTCTGTGTCCTGTATTTCCTATATAATAGAACTAGAAACTTGAACAGGTTGTGTTTTTTTCAAGAATACTTTCCAGTTGGTATTTTGCCGTTCCCTGGAGTGTAGAGGAGTTGAAGTTAGGCCAGCTTCTTTTTTATCTTTACTTTGCTGTCAGACAGGGCCATTCTGACCAATATTTGTTTATAGCAAAACAGTCTTGCTCAATTATTTATGGCAAGCAGTCTTTTTGATATAGCTTCTCTGAATAAGACTAAATTCACAATATTCATTCCTGCTGAGTAGATGGCCTCATATCAGAGCAGAGAAGCACGGCTCATGATTGGAATAAGACATCGGTTCCTCAGAGAACAACTTTAGAGTAAAAGAAATATGTAGAAGAGCATATAAAGCTCTATCCATAAAATATTGGGTAATTATTATGACTCTTTTCCAAGCACTCTTTCGCTGACTGCTTAGAGGATGTTTGTCCTGCAGGATAGAGTGTGGAAAAGAGCCAGGATGATTAGGTTAATTTCTCTGTGGTTTATGAGATCCCACAGTAAACCCCACTTCCCACTTGTTTGTTCTGGATGGAAAAGCCCCACCCACTTTAATATGATCGTCCCTGGCCTCCTGTAGTGTGACCAATGGTGGATATTCTTCATCCTTTTAAATTGACCTATGACTAGACACTGGAATCTGTGTCTTGAAAGTGCAGGGTTGTCTATTCTCCTGAGAACAAAATCCCCTAATGGCATCAACATAATTCATCATTTGCTTTAGTCCATATGTTACACACAAGTTTATTATTACACTAAAAATAATATTATATATACATATATTCATATATTTCCATCCTTAGAGAAAGAAGAGCATATTATACACACTTTTGTTCGTACTGCTTTTTTTCTCAATATATGCTGTTGAATAGTAGAATAATCTTTATTCCTTTATAACTTTATTGAGATATAATTTATTGAGATATAATTCACATACCATACAATTCACCCATTAAGCTGTAAATTCAATTATATTTAGTATCAGAGCTGTACAGCCATTAATCAATTTTAGAACATTTTTATCATGCCAAAAAAGAAACCTTGAGCCCATTAGCAGTCACTTCCCATTTTCCCCCAGATCCTCAGCCCCAGTCAGCTACAAATGACCAAACTAGTTCTGTAAATTTCCCTGTCATGGACATTTCATATAAATGGAATCATATCATATGTTGTCCTTCGTGGCTGGCTTCTTATATTTAGCATACTGTTTTTAAAGTTCCTTCATGTATGGTGACTCAGACAGTAAAGAATTTCCTTCTATGTAGGAGGCCAGGGTTCGATCTCTGGGTCAGGAAGAGCCTCTGGGGAAGGGAATGGCAACCCACTCCTGTATTCTTGCCTGGAGAATTCCATGGACAGAGGAGCATGGCAGGCTACAGTCCATAGGGTTCCAAAGAGTCGGACATGACTGAGTGACTGACACTTTGACTTCTTGTTGTTAGCATGTATTTCTACATGCTTAAACCTTTTTATTACTGAATAATATTCCATTATACAGGTATATCACCTTTTGTTTTTCTGTTTGCCAGTTAATGAGCATTTTGGGTTGTCCCTACTTTTTTGGCTGTTATAAATAATGCTGGTAGGAATATTCTTATACAAGTTTTTGTTTGAAAATAAATTTTCATTTCTCATGAGTATACTTGTATGAGTGCAATTGTTGGTTCAATGATAATTCTGTATGTAACATTTTGAGGAAATGCCAGACTACTTTCCAAAGAAGCTGTACCACTTTGCATTGCCACCAACAGTGTATGAAGGTTCTGATTTCTCCACATTTGTACCAACACTTGTTATTATCTGTCTTTTTTGTATCCACTATAGTGGATATGCTTATTTCTGTTCACAGACATACTCCATTGAGTGGGTATATCACAGTTTAGTCAGCCAATCCCCAGTTGATGAACATTTGGGTTGTTGCCATTCTTGTGCTATTGCAAATCATACATCAATAAATAGCTTTTCGTTTATGTCTTTGCATTTTTTGTCAGTGTGTCTTTGGGATATAGTCTCAGAAGTGAGATTGCTATATCAAACAGTAAATGTGTATGTAAGTTTGCTAGATATTGCCAAATTTCTCTTCATAGGGGTTTTAGCATTTTACATTCCTATGGCAGTATATGAGAGCACCTATTTCCTTACAGCCTCACCAGTAGAGTATGTTGTCAAACTTTTAGATTTTTGCTATCCTTGTAGATAAGAAATGGTATTTTATGATAGTTTTAATGTTTATCTTACTATAAACAAGGTTGATCATCTTTTCACATAATCTTACTATAAGCAAGGTTGAGCATCTATATTCTCATATCACGTGTATTTTCATTTTTTAAACAGGGAGAATTGTTTAAAGGGTTTGCACTAAAGATTTCCCTCTCTTATAAAATTTGTTTGATAAAAATATTTGTACTATTTCACTGGAGAAGACAGTTTGGCTAATGTCTTTCTTAACCTAGTACAGTCATGGTTCATTTAAAGAAATCCCCAACAAGTTGCTAATGCTACATTATCCATAAATGCTGCATTTGTGACTAAGAGCAGCCATCTGGGTTGTGTAAACATTTGTATAATTCTGGTGAATCAGGTGTATAATTTTCAATCTGCATTTTATTTATTAGAATGCCCCAAATATAATAAGTGTTTTAACATTTTATTTTAAAAGTATGGATATTGAATTTAGATAGGATGATCTGTATTGTAGTTTTGGGAATAAAGCATTCTTGTTTTTTTCCTGTGAAAGGAAACCAACCATGCAGAAAAACAGCAGACTTAGTATTAGCTTCTGGGTTTACCTAGAAGATATTTTCATTGGCATTTCAGTGTTAGTTGACAAATTTTTAATATTTTTACTACTATTGCATTTCTGTTTCTCTGCTGATATATCCTATATTTTGCCTTCCAAAATGTTTTAAGGTTGCTATTTAATGCACATTGCAGGGGATTCCCTGGTTGGGGGGGTGGGGTGGTTAGGACTTGGTGCTTTCACTGCTGGGGCCCAGGTTCAACCCCTGGTAGGGAAGATAAGATCCCACAAGCCATGTGGTGCAGCCTGATACATATATAAATATACATGTATGTGTATATTATTATTGTTGTTTAGTCACCCAGTTATTTTTTTTATTTTATTATTATTTTTTTTAATAGGAGTTTTTAAAACTGAAGTTTGAGGAATAATGGAGAGCATTGTGAATTGGGTTGCTGTTTAGTAGTATGTTTGGCTATTTTTAAAAAGTACAATTTAAAATCTGTAATTAAAAAATTTTGACTGTCTTNAGGCCCGAGCACTTGTCTCATGCACCCAATCTGGGCTGGTGATCTGTTTCACCCTAGATAATATACATGTTTCAATGCTGTTCTCTTGAAACATCCCACCCTTGCCTTCTCCCAGAGTCCACAAGTCTGTTCTATATAGTCACCCAGTTATGTCTGACTCTTTGTGACCCCATAGACTGTAGCATGCCAGGCCTCCCTGTCCCTCAGCATCTCCCAGAGTTTGCCCAAATTCATGTTCATTGCATCGGTGATGCTGTCCAGCCATCTTATCCTCTGATGCCCTCTTCTTCTGCCCTCAATCTTTCCCAGCATCAGAGGCTTCCAATGAGTCATCTGTGCGCATCAGATGACCAAAATACTGGAGCTTCAGCTTCAACATCAGTCCTTTCAGTGAATATTCAGAGTTGATCTCCCTTAAGCTTCACTGGTTTGGTTTTGCTATCCAAGGGATTTTCAGGAGTCTTCTCTAGCACCATAGTCCGAAGGCATCATAGTTCTTTGGCATTCTGTCTTCTTTACATTTCAGCTCTCACAACCAAACGTGACCACTGGGAAGACCATAGCCTTGACTATATGGACCTTTGTTGGCAGAGTGATGTCTCTGCTTTTCAACACTTTCTCTAGGTTTGTCATTGCTTTCCTGCCAAGAAGCACTTGTCTTCTGATTTCATGGCTGCAGACACCATCTGCAGTTATTTTGGAGCCCAAGAAGAGGAAATCTGTCACTACTTCCACCTTTTCCCCTTCTAATTTGCCATGTAGTAATGGGGCTGGATACCATGATCTTAGTTTTTTTAATATTTAGTCTTAAACTGGCTCATTCATTTTCCTCCTTCACCCTCATCAAGAAGCTCTTTGGTTCCTCTTTGCTTTCTGCCATTAAAGTGGTATCATCCACATATCTGAGGTTATTGATGTTTCTCCTGCCTATCTTGATTCCAGCTTGTAACTCATCGAGCCCAGCATTTCTTGTGATGTGCTCAGCATATAGATTAAACAAACAAGGTGACGGCAGACAGCCCTGTTGTACTCCTTTCTCAATCTTGAACCAATCAGTTATTTCATACAGGATTCTAACTGTTGCTTCTTGATCCGCATACAGATTTCTCAAGAGACAAGTGAGATGGTCTGGTATTCCCATCTCTCTAAGAACTTTCCACAGTTTGTCATGATCTACATAGTCAAAGTCTTTAGCGAAGTCAGTGAAATAGAGATGTTTTTCTGAAATTCCCTTGCTTTTCCTATAATCCACTGAATTTGATCTTTAGCTCCTCTTCCTTTTCTAAACCCAGCTTGGACATCTGGAAGTTCTTGGTTCACATAATGCTGAAGCCTAGCATGCAAGGTTTTAAGCATGACCTTACTAGCATGGGAAATGAGTGCAATTGTGTGATGGTTAGCGCATTCTTTGGTACTACCCTTCTTGAGAATTGGGGTGAGAGGATTGACCTTTTCCAGTCCTGTGGCTCCTGCTGGGTCTTCCAGATTTGCTGACATAATGAGTGCCAAGGACTTCCCTGGTGGCTCAGATGGTAAAGAATCTGCCTGCAGTGCAGGAGACCCAGACTCAATCCTTGGGTCAGGAAGATCCCCTAGAAAATGGAATGGCAACCCACTTCAGTATTCTTGCCTGATGAATTCCATGGACAGATGAGCACCGTGGGCTACAGTCCATAGGGTCACCAAGAGTCAGACACAACTGAGCAACTAACACAGCTATCTGGGGCCAGCATCCTACATTTTCCCATCCATTTGTCCTTAGGGAGTGGCAGCAGCTATATTGGCAGGCATTGCTCTGCAGTGAATGTAAAACCTTGATGGCATCATCCTTTAGGGATTTGAATAGTTCTGCTGGAATTTCATTGCATCCACTCGCTTTATTAACAGCAGTGCTTCTTAAGGTCCACTTGACTTCACACTCCAGAATGTCTGACTCTGGGTGACTAACCACACCATCATAGTAACCCAGTTCATTAAGATCTTTTTTATACAGTTCTTCAGTGGATTCTTTTCATCTCTTCTTGATCTCTTCAGCATCTACTTGGTCTCTACCATTTTTACCCTTTATTGTGCCCATCTTTGGGTGGAATTCTTCCTTGATGTTTCCAATTTTCCTGATGAGATCTCTAGTCTTTCCTTTTTTTTGTTTCCTTCTATTATTAAGCATTGTTCATCGAAGAAGGCCTTCTTGGCTCTTCTAGCTATTTTTTGGAACTATGCATTTAATTGAATGTACCTTTCCCTCTCTCCCTTGCTTTTTCACTTCTCTTCATTCTTCCACTATTTGTAAAGCCTCTTCAGATAACCACTTTGCCTTCTTTTCTTTTTCTTTGGGATGGTTTTGTTTGCCGCCTCCTGTACAATATTACAGACCTCTGTCCATCGTTCTTCAGGCACATCGTTAGCTAGATCTAGCCCCTTGAATCTGTTGGTTACCTCTACTGTGAATTCATATGAATTTAAGTCATACTTGGCTGGCCTAGTGTTTTTCCCAGCTTTCTTTAGTTTAAGTCTGAATTTGCTGTGAGAAGCTCATGATCTGAGCCACAGTCAGCTCCAGGTCTTGTTTTTGTTGATTGTATGCAGCTTCTCCTACATCTTTGTCTACAAAGAATGTAATCAATTTGATTTGGGTATTGACCATTTCGTGGTGTCCATGTGTAAAGTTGTCTTTTGTGTTGTTGAAAAACAACAAGTCATTTACTATGACTTGTACATTCTCTTGGCAGAATTCGTTAACCTTTGCCCTGCTTCATTTTGTTCTCCAAGGCCAAACTTGCCTGTTACTCCAGGTTTATCTTGACTTGTTACTTTTACATTCCAATCCCTAATGATGAATAGAATATCTTTTTTAGGTGTTAGTTCTAGGAGGTCTTCCAGGCCTTCATAGAGCTGATTAACTTCAGTTTCTTCAGCATTGGTAGTAGGAGCATAGACTTGGATTACTGTGATATTGAATGGCTTGCCTTGGAAACAAACAGATCATTCTGTCATTTTCGATGTCGCACCCAAGTACCGTATTTTTGACTCTTTCGGCATTTATATGGGCTACTCCATTTCTTCTATGGGATTCTTTCCCACAGTAGTAGATAAAATGGTCATCTGAATTAAATTCGCCCATTCCTGTCAGTTTTAGTTCACTGATTCCTAGGATGTCAATTTTTATTCTTACCATCTCCTGCTTGACCACATCCAATTTTCCTTGATTAATGGACCTAACATTCCAAGTTCCTATACAGTACTGTTCTTTGCAGCATCGGATTTTACTTTCATCAGCAGGCACATCCACAACTGAGTGTTGTATCTGCCTTGGCCCAGCCTCTTCATTCATTCTAGGTCTATTGGTAATTCTTCTCCATTCCCCAGTAGCATATTGGACACCTTCAGACCCAAGGGAAATATCTTTTGGTGTCATATCTTTTTTGCCTTTTATACAGTTCATGAGGTTCTCACGGCAAGTATACTGGAATGGTTTGCCATTCCCTTCTCCAGTGGATCATGTTTTGTCAGAACTCTCTGCTAAGATCTGCCCATCTTGGGTGGCCCTGCACGGCATGGCTGATAGATTCAGAGTTATGCCAGCCTCTCCGCCATGACAAGGCAGTGATCTATGAAGGGGATATGTGTATATATGTGTGTGTGTGTATATATATATATAGCATACTTATACTAAATATCAAACTCATGATAGCAGGTGGTAGGGCAAAGGGTATTGTCAGGAGAAGTCAACCTGATATTGAAAATTTAGCTCAGTCAGTAAAATCTAAAAAATACATAATTTCAGAAAATAATACAAAGTTGATTGTCTCATTTTACATTCTTATTTAATGCTCAATTAGGCATCTATCATTTCTCGTAAAAAAGAAGCCAAAGCTGAAGAACTTCAGGAAGCAAAGGAAAAGTTAGCCAACCTAGAGAGAGAAGTGTCAGTGAAGACAAATCAGACCCGTGAATTTGACGGCACTGAAGTTTTGAAGGGAGATGAGGTAAGTTGAGATGTCTAATGGGACGAGAATATGGTTATTGCTTTTGTTTGAAACCATTAATGTTTTTTACTTTTTAGTTTGTCTGTCAGTAATGGGACATTCATCATATTGCTGTTTGGCAGAAACCAACACAATTCTGTAAAGTGTTTATCCTTCAACTAAAAAATAATTTTAAAAAAGAAAGATAAAATAATTGGAAGTTCATTTATTTTATGAAACTTCTTAATATTTAAAATTTTAATATATAAATATTATATATATTAATATTTATATGTGATAATAATTTATATTTAATAATAATTTATATTTAAAACCGAAAACTCTGAGACTTCCCTGGTGATCCAATGGCTAAGACTCCATGCTTGCAATTCAGGGGGCCCAGGTTCAGTCCCTGGTCAGGGATCCCACATGTGCAACTAAAGATTCTGCATGCTGCAGCTAAGATCTGGTGCAGCCAAATAAATAAAATAAGAATAAATATTTTTTTAAATAAAAATAAAACTGAAAACTCTTTTCAGTAATACTGAGATATGCTTGATATATAATGACAGAGATTTTAGTGATTTTATGAAATAATGTTCCAAATTTTCACTTTTTAAGTGGATTTATATTGGATTTATTATAAGTATTAGGTTATAAAAATGAAACCAAATGAGTAGGAACTGTCAGGTAAGCAAATATTCATATTTTTTATAAATATAATTCCATAAAGGGCTGAGAAAATATCACTAAGTTACTTCATCAATAATGTGTACTTGGTCAGTGGGACTGGCATCATTAAAATGACTTCATTAAAAATTGCTTACAAATTTTAAAAATATAATTATGTCTTACATTGCTGTCTCTTTACATTTTGAACAATGATTTAGCAGCTCTTATTTCACTTATCCTTCTGTCAGACTCATGAGATGAGTAGGACAAGTAATACTGTCATTTATAGATGGTTGAAGTTAAGCATCAAAAATATAAACCCCATCTCCTTTTTATGAAGTTATCTCAAGAAAGAGTAAATAAATGAAGCAAAATATCTTGCCTTCAGCTCAGTGCCCTTTTTTTTCTTTTAGCAAAACAAGTGATAGGTCATATTTTAGTTCCTATACATTGCATCTCTTTACCACCTCTAACAGCTTTTTTATGTTATATTAGCTACTAGTCCTCAGCAAAAGCTACTTGGGAAAGCTGCTCAGGTCCAAACCTCATTTTTGGCTTTGAAAAGTTATTGAATTCATACTGTTACAAATTGGCAGTGAATCTTCACTATGCCAAACACAAATGAATTGTTTTCATAGCACCACTTTCCTCTGGTGCTTTTGATTGTAGCCTCTCTATTTGCCTTCTAGTTTACTGAGGAGGTATAATTCATAAATCAATACTTGATTGAAAAATTTCTTTGGATTTTAACATCCACTTCCAGGGAATTCCCTGCCAGTTCAGTGTTTAGGACTGAAGGCTTTCATTGCAGGGGGCACAAGTTTGATTTCTGGTTGGGTAACTGAAGGCTGCCTGCCAAGTGGGGAAGCAAAAAAAAGAAAAAAAAAAACAACACATTAACTTACAGATCGCTTTAAGAAATGGGAGTATTTTACAACTAAAACAGCTGGAAAAAGAAGAACTTAAAAATCCCAAAATTAGCAGAAGGAAAGAAATCATAAAGATCAGAACAGAAGTAAATGAAAAAGAAATGAAAGAAACAATAGTAAAGATGAATAAAACTAAAATTTGGCTCTTTGAGAAGATAAACAAAATTGACAAACCTTTAGCCAGACTCATCAAGGAAAAAAGGGAGAAAAGAATCAAATCAACAAAATTAGAAATGAAAAAGGAGAGGTTACAACAGACAATGCAGAAATACAAAGGATGGTAAGAGACTACTATGAACAACTATATGGCAATACGTGAACTGTGAACTTCCAGATGTTCAAGCTGGTTTTAGAAAAGGCAGAGGAACCAGAAATCAAATTGCCAACATCCGCTAGATCATCAGAAAAGCAAGAGAGTTCCAGAAAAACATGTATTTCTGCTTTATTGACTATGCCAAAGCCTTTGACTGTATGGATCACAATAAACTTGGGAAAATTCTTTAAGAGATGGGCATACTAGACCACCTGACCTGCCTCTTGAGAAACCTGTATGCAGGTCAGGAAGCAACAGTTAGAACTGGACATGGAACAACAACTGGTTCCACTTAGGAAAAGGAGTACGTCAAGGCTGTATGTTGTCACCCTGCTTATTTAACTTATATGCAGAGTACATCATGAGAAACACTGGACTGGAAGAAACATAAGCTGGAATCAAGATTGCCGGGAGAAATATCAATAACCTCAGATACGCAGATGACACCACCCTTATGGCAGAAAGTGAAGAGGAAGAAAAGAGCCTCTTGATGAAGGAGAGTGAAAAAGTTGGCTTAAAGCTCAACATTCAGAAAACTAAGATCATGGCATCCAGTCCCATCACTTCATGACAAATAGATGGGGAAACAGTGGAAACAGTGGCTGACTTTATTTTTGGGGGCTCCAAAATCACTGCAGATGGTGATTGCAGCAATGAAATTAAAAGACACTTACTCCTTGGGAGGAAAGTTACAATCAACCTCGACAGCATATTAAAAACCAGAGATATTACTTTGCCAACAAAGGTCCATCTAGTCAAGGCTATGTGAGAGTTGGACTATAAAGAAAGCTGAGCGCCAAAGAATTGATGCTTTTGAACTGTGGTGTTGGAGAAGACTCTTGAGAGTCCCTTGGACTGCAAGGAGATCCAACCAGTCCATCCTAAAGAAGATCAGTCCTGGGTGTTCATTGGAAGGACTGATATTGAAGCTGAAACTCCAATATTTCGGCCACCTGATGCAAAGAGCTGACTCATTTGAAAAGACCCTGATGCTGGGAAAGATTGAAGGCAGGAGGAGAAGGGGACAACAAAGGATGAGATGGTTGGATGGCATCACCGACTCAATGGACATGGGTTTGGGTGGACTCCAGGAGTTGGTGATGGACAGGGAGGCTTGGCGTGCTGTGGTTCATGGGGTCACAAAGAGTTGGACACGACTGAGTGACTGAACTGAACTGATGTGGCAATAAAATGGATAACCTGGAAGAAATGGACAGATTCTTAGAAAAGTTCAATTTTCCAAGACTGAACCAGGAAGAAATAGAAATTATGAACAACCTAATTACAAGCACTGAAATAAAAACTGTAATCAGAAATCTCCTCAAAAACGAAAGCCCAGGACCAGATGACTTCACAGGTGAATTCTGTCAAGCATTTAGAGTAAAGCTAATGCCCATCCTTCTAAAACTCTTCCAAAAAATTGCAGAGGAAGGAATACTTCCAAACTCATTCTACACAGCCACCATCACCCTGATACCAAAACCAGACGAAGACAACACCAAAAAAGAAAACTACAGGCCAATATCACTGACAAACATATATGCAAAAATCCTCAACAAAATTCAACATAATTAAACAACATATTAAAAAGTTCATATGTTGTGATCAAGTTGGGTTTATCCCAGGGATGCAACAATTCTTCAGTATATGCAAATCAATCAATATGATACACCATATTAACACACTGAAAGATAAAAACCATATGGTAATCTCAATAGATGCAGAAAAAAGCCTTTGACAAAATTCAACACCCATTTATGATTAAAACTCGTCAAAAAATGGCCATAGAAGTGCCATTTACTCAACATAGAAAAGGCCATATATGATAAGCCCATAGCAAACATTATTCTCAATTGTGAAAAACTGAAAGCATTCCTCCTAAGATCAGGAACAAGACAGGGTGTCTACTCTCAACATTATTATTCAACATAGTTTTGGAAGTCCTAGTTACAGCAGAAGAAAAAGAAATAAAAAGAATCCAGATCAGAAAAGAAGTAGTAAAGCTCTCACTGTTTACAGATGACATGATGCTATACATAGAAAACCCTAAAGATACTATCAGAAAATTACTAGAGCTAATCAATGAATTTAGCAAATTCGCAAGACATGAAATCAATACACAGAAGTCACTTGCTTTCCTATATACTAACAATGAAAAATCAGAAAGACAAATTAAGGAATCAGTCCCGTTCACCATTGCAACAAAAAGAATAAAATATCTAGGAATAAGCCTACCTAAGGAGACAAAAGAACTGTATACAGAAAATTATAAGACACTGATGAAAGAAATCAAAGATGACATAAACAGATGGCGATATTCCATGTTCCTGAGTAGGAAGAATCAATATTGTGAAAATGAGTACACTACCAAATGCAATCTACAGATTCAGTGTGATCCCTATCAAATTACCAATGGCATTTTTCACAGAGCTAGAACAAAAAATTTCACAATTCACATGGAAGCACAGAAGACCCCTAATAGCCAAAGCAGTCTTGAATAGCCAAAGCAGTCTTGAGAAAGAAGAATGGAGCTGGAGGAATCAACCTTCCTGACTTCCGATTATCCTGCAAAGCTGCAGTCATCAGGATGATATGGTACTGGCACAAAAACAGAAATATAGACCAATGAAACAAGATAGAAAGCCCAGAAATAAAGCCATGCGCCTATAGGTACCTTATTTTTGACAAAGGAGGCAAGAATATACAATAGGGCAAAGATAGCCTCTTCAATTAGTGGTGCTGGGAAAACTGGACAGCTACATGTGAAAGAATGAAATTAGAACACTTCCTAACACCATACACAAAGATAAACTCAACATGGACTAAAGACCTAAATGTAAGACCAGAAACTTTAAAACTCTTAGAGGAAAACATAGGCAGAACACTCGATGACATAAGTCAAAGCAAGATCCTCTATGACCCACCTCCTAGAGTAATGGAAATAATAACAAAAGTAAACAACTGGAACCTGATTAAACTTAAAAGCTTTTGCACAGCAAAGCAAACTATAAGCAAAGTGAAAAGACAGCCCTCGGGATGGGAGAAAATAGCAAATGAAACAACTGACAAAAGATTAATTTCCAAAATATACACGCAGCTGATACAAC